TAAAAAATATATATATATATTTGTTGGAGCCCTAGCCAGATTGGCTCAATGGTTAGAGTGTCGGCCCTTGGACTGAACATGCAGGGTTCAATACCTGACAATCAATATGTCTCTCTCACTCCGATGTTTCTCTCTCTCCCTCCCTCTCTCCCTTCCACTGAAATAAAATCTATCTGCCCTCGCCAGTTTGCTCAGTGGTTAGAGCTTCAGCCCACAGACCGGAGAGACCCAGGTTCGGTTCCCGCTAAGGGCACGTACCTCGGTTGCAGTTTGTCCCTGGCCCCAGTGGGGTCGTGTGGGTGGCAACCAGTCAATGTGTCTCTCTCACATCGGTATTTCTTTCTCGCTCTGATCTTTTCTCTCTTCCTCCCACTCTATCTGAAGATAAATGCAAAAATGTCCTTGGGTGAGGATAAAAAATATCTATCTAAAAATAAATAAATAAGAGCCCTGGCCAGTTTGGCTCATAGGTTAGAGCGTCGACCTGTGGTCCAGAGAGACCCGGGTTCGGTTCCCGCTAAGGGCAGGTACCTCGGTTGCAGTTTGTTCCCGGCCCTGATTGGGTCGTGCGAGTAGCAACCACTTGATGTGTCCCTTTCATGTCAATGTTTCTCTCTCTCTCTCTCTCCCTCTCACTCTATCTGAACAAAAAATGTAAAAATGTCCTCGGGTGAGGATTTAAAAATAAATAAATACAAATAAATTAATTAATTAATATTTGTTCGATAAATGGATAGCCACCATCACAAAGCCAGTCAATGACAGATCTGAAATTCCTCTTTGCAATATTGAAAGATGTTGCCCCTTTCTTCCAGCAGGTGGAGCCAAAGCCACATCGGGTCCTTAACAGGAATGGGGTCGGGGTTAGGGGGCAGATTTGCTGAGGACAGCACTACAGAGTCAAAAGGGGAGAAGCAGGATTTTTTTTTCCTTTTCTTTTTTATAGTAATGCTGGATCCAAGCGGAAAGAAAGTCAAGATGGCACTCCTTTCCAAGGATGAGTAGATAAGAGCTGTCCAGAAGAGACCTGGAGTAGCCAATGACCCAAGGGGGTTCTGGGACCTCAGACTGCTTCCTCACTTCTACCTGTACCCCCCCCCCCAAAACCATCCCCCAGTCAGCAGAGGGAGAACAAGTAAAACAAAACAAAACAAGAACAATTTTCTGTGAGCATGAAACTGGAGAGAGACAAGGGTTTTCATTTCCAAATCCTAATTGTACAGTTGGGGAAAGCTGAAGCCAAGAGAGAGGCATCATAGTAGTTCACTAGGAATTGGGTCTGACCCTCAAAGCCCTCTTGTCATAGCTCATGTTCATTTAGCTCCACAAGCTCCAACCGACTATACCTGGCCCTGGACTTGCGTGGGAGACCATAATGAAGGGGGCATGGAAATCTCAGAACTGCCCAAAGGGGTAGGGGGTCAGAAATGGCTTTAGAGAGGCATGCTGAAGCCAGGATACATTGGGCCAAGGTCTGCCAGGGGGACCAGAGGCCAGAGGTATAGTTCAGGGCTGGGCAAGTGGCCTGGAAAAAGGGCTGTATCTAGATCTGGGGCTGGTGAGGCCAGAAGGGGCTGGAACATCCTCCTGAAGGTAGCAGGAACTCACTGAAGGGTTTCTAAACAGGAGCTACTTGGTTATCTTGGATAGTTTGCAGAAGGAATGTGAGCTCAAATCAATGGCAGAGATCAGTGAGAAGGCTGGTTTTCATCACCCTGATAAGTAATTGTGGGGATGGGAAAGAGATCATACCTAATAATCATTGGGATGGGAAAGAAGCAAGCATAAGTGGTTTAGGAAATTTAAAATAAATTAAAAAAAAAAAAAAGACTTGTGGCCAGCTGGTGTGGCTCAGTGGACTGAGTGAGCATCGTCCCATGCACCAAGAGGTTGCCGGTTCAATTCCCAGTCAGGACACATGCCCGGGTTTCTGGCTCAATTCCCAGTGGGGGAGATGCAGGAGACAGCCAATTGATGTTTGTCTCATTGATACTTCTCTCTCTCCCTCTCTCTCTCTCTTCTTCTCTCTCTAAAAAAAATCAATAAAAACATATGTTTTTTATTTTTTATTTTATTTTATTTTTTTAATCCTCATCAGAGGACATTTTTCCAGTTTTTACTCAGATAGAGTGGGAAGGAGAGAGAGGAAGAGAGAGAAACATCGATGTGAAAGGGACACATCGAGTGGCCGCCACCCACACGACCCAACCAGGGCCGGGGACAAACTGCAGCCAAGGTACGTGCCCTTAGCGGGAACCGAACCCGGGTCTCTGTGGACCGCAGGCCAACGCTCTAACCGCTGAGCCAAACCGGCCAGGGCTGTTTTTTAAAAAGCATAGAAATTTTTAGCCCTGGCCGGTTTGGCTCAGCAGTTAGAGCGTCGGATTGCGGACCAGAGAGTCCTGGGTTCAGTTCCCACTAAGGGCATGTACCTTGGTTGCAGTTTGTCCCTGGCCCTGGTTGGGGTCATGTGGGTGGCAACCACTCGATGTGTCTCTCTCACGTCGATATTTCTCTCTCTCTCTTCCTCCCTCTCTTCCTCCCACTCTATCTGAAGATAAATGCAAAAATGTCCTCGGGTAAGGATAAAAATAAATAAAAAGCATAGAAATTAAAAAAACAAAAACAGGACTTGGTGGTTAAGAATTAACTAATTGAACTGATCTTTATTAAGTTCCTGTTAGCATCACTTTATAAATTTATAAAACTGGCTTGGCAGAATTTCATTAGCAAAATATGTAGCCCCACACCCAAAACCAAGCCTAAACAGTCTTAAATGCTTCTCTTCTCTGGGTCTCATTTACCATTTATAAAAAAAGAGGTTGAACTGGTAGCTCCTGACCCTGACAGCTTTGCTTTTTCTGACATTTGGAGCTTGGCTTAAGGATTTAAAACCCAGTGATCTGCAGGCTTCTACCAATTTGACAGAGCCGATTGCTAAATTTTCAGGAATTTTGCAAGATAGTACAATGACTGGCAACTTGAAATTGGCTATAGTGGGAGTATATACACCATGGAAATAGGCAAATGCTACAAACTAGGCCTCCCCAGTGTCCTCCCTGCCAGAGGTGGTTTTCACCAGCACACCAGTGAGACCCCTCTTCAACTGATACACATATACCCAGCCAGGTACATTCTCACTTTCCAACACTATCATTAACAATTGTAAAGAAAGAATCATAGGTCCCTAGGACCCCACATGTCCCATCACACAGAATCTACCTCAGCACAGCCAGGCCCACATGCTCAGGCCCACACAGGGTGCAAAAACACCACATCTGGGTCTGAACCATCTGACAATAGATCAGTTGTTACCAGACAAAGGGGAACAGAGGTTGGTGGTGAACATACTGGAGTCTCACGGTGAACATACTGGAGTCTCACAGACCTAATATGGAATTCCAGTTCGGTCCTCTTGGCTATGTGTTAGCCAAGTCCCTCTCAACACAGAAGCTGTTTCTTCATCTTTATTTTATTTTATTAAAACAAAATTTTTTTTCCCTTTGATTTGAGAGAGGAAAGGAGAGGGAGAAACATTATGAGAGAACATTGATTGGCCACCTCCTGCACGCCCCCCACTGGGGGTTTAGCCCACAATCTGGGCATATGCCCTGACCAGGAATCGAACCAGGACCTCCCAGTCCATGGGACAACAGTCAATCCACTCTGAGCCACACTGGCTGGGCTGTTTCCTTATCTTTAAAATGGGGACAGCCCTGGCCGGTTTGGCTCAGCGGTTAGAGCGTCTGCCTGCAGTCCGGAGAGACCCGGGTTCGTTTCCCGCTAAGAGCATGTACCTCGGTTGCGGTTTGTCCCCGGTCCTGGTTGGTCGTGCGGGTGGCAGCCACTCGATGTGTCCCTTTCACATCGATGTTTCCCTCTCTCTCTCTTCCTCTCTCTCCCTCCCACTCTGTCTGTACAAAAAATGGAAAAATGTCCTCGGGTGAGAATAAAAAAATAAAATAAAATGGGGACAGATCCTGCCCTGGCTGGTTTGGCTCAGTGGTTAGGGCATCGGCCTGTGGACAAATGAGTCTCAGGTTCGATTCTGGTCAAGGGCACATACCTCGGTTGTGGTTTATCCCTGGCCCTGGTCAGGTCATGCAAGAAGCAACCAGTCGATGTGTCCCTCTCACATCGATGTTTCTCTCTCCCTCCCTCCCACTCTATCTCATGATAAATAGGAAAAAAAAAAAAAAAGATTCTCAGATGAGGATTAGAAACAAAAATAAAAAATAAAATGGGGACAAATCCAGCCCCAGTCAGTGTGCCTCACTCAGTTGGTTGGAGCATTGTCCCATACATGAAAAGGTGGTGAGTTTGATCCCTGGTCAGGGCACATACCCAGGTTATGGGTTCAATCCCTGGTTGGGGCATGTGCCCGAGGCATCCGATCAAAGTTTCTCTCTCACATTAATGTTTCTCTCCCTCTCCCTTCCTTTTTCTAAACTCAATAAAGTTGTCCAGCCCGTGTGGCTCAGTGGTTGAGTGTCAACCCATGCACCAAGAGGTCACCGGTTCGATTCCCAGTCAGGGCACATGCCCAGGTTGTGGGCCCGATCCCCAGTGGAGGGCATGCAGGAGGCGGCCAATCAATGTTCTCTCTCATCGATGTTTCTATCTTTCCCTCTCACTTCCTCTCTCTAAAGTCAATAAAGGGAAAAAAAAGTTAAAAATAAATAAATAAATAAATAAATAAAATGGAGACAAACTCTGACTTAGAAGGATGGTTTCCAGGATTAAATGAGAACACCAGCAAAGTGAATGTAAAGCCTCCACACCATGCCTGGTAAAGACAGGTGTTCAGTAAATGTTAGCCAATACTATTATCACACCTCCAGACTCGTTCTCCTTACCCAGGGTCCCTTCGGCTCAGTGCTCCCTCTTACTATCTGAATTTTGGCACAGAGGGGCTCAGTGAGTGATAAAGTACAAAAACAGAAATAGGCAGCTCCGTTTTCCAGTTTTTATGAAAATTAATAACATTAATAGCTCACAGACATACGCACACACACACACACATTACTATATACAAAGTCATTAAGTTATTAATTAGTCTTTGTATAAAATGTTTCTACATTAGTGTCTTTGGGTAGGCCCCATCAGTCCTTGGCATATTCACAGTAGCAGCCCCAGGGCACGGCCCCTTGAGCAGGGAGAGGAGAGGCAGGGGCTGTATGAATAGCCTGCCCCAAGGTGGGTATAGGAGGTGTCCTGGGCTGCCTACTCTCTTCTTTGGCTCCCTTTCTGGCACCTGGAGACCTTGAGTGAGGAGGCAAGCAGGCCCAGATTCCTCATGTGGACTGGTGACCCAGGCCTTGTGCTTGGTGACGTCAGGCAACACAGCAGATCCTAGAGGATGCTCGCCAGCTCTGTAGAGTCTGTGTCAGAGCAGCCTGAGCTGCTGGCCTCTTCCCTGCAAGAGCCAGAGAAGACAGGTTAGAAGAATCATCCTCACCCCTCCCTTGCCCCACCTGCCTCATTCCTCTTATAATCTTTGGCCCTGCGGTCTTAGCCAGCTGTTGGGCAAGTATAAAACACTCCCCCTTCTCTTGCCCAACTGGAGTGACTCAGTTAGTTGAGCGTCATCCTGTGCACACAAGATGGATACCAGTTGGATTCCCAGTCAGGGCACATATGGAAGGCAACCAATGTTTCTAGGCTGGCTGATGGGTTGGCATGACTCAGTCCAACCTGGCCTCTGATCTCCCAAAACGCAGGGCTCAGGCCACACCTGAGGTCCTATACGCCAGGAGTGCCATGAAGAGCACAGGGTGTGGAGTCAGAGCGCAGGGTGTGGAGTCAGAACACCAGGCTCTGCCCTTCATCAGCTGGGCCAGTCATTCTTCTTGGTTAAGCCTGAGTTTCTTCATTTGCAGAGTGGGAATCATAGGACCTTATGACAAACAACTAGGGTTGCTGGAGGACTACAGAAGGTCATGAATGCACATTCTCTAAAACAAACTCCTTGAGGGCAGGGATTTTAGTTTCATTTACTAGAGCAATGCCTGCCACATAGTAGGCTTTCAGTAAGCATTTGGTGAATGAATAAATGTAAAACCACTTGGCATGCAACTATGTGTTCAAGAAATATAAGCTGCCACTATTATAATCATTTTTTTTTATCCTCACCTGAGGACATTTTTGCATTTATCTTCAGGTAGAGCGGGAGGGAGGGAGGAAGGAATAGAGAGAGAAACATCGATGTGAGAGAGACGCATCGAGTGGCTGCTACCCACACGACCCCAACTGGGGCCGGGAACAAACTGCAACCGAGGTACATGTCCTTAACAGGAACCGAACCCAGGACTCTGTGGTCCGCGGGCTGACACTCTAACCGCTGAGCCTAACATAATAAATGCTGCCATTATTGTAAACTGGCAGAAGGCACTGGCTGGTATGACTCAGTTGGTTGGGTGTCATCCAGTGCACTGAAGGGTTGTGGGTTCAATTCCCAGTCAGGGCACATCATGCTCAGGTTGCCTCTGTAGGGGGCAGCCTATACTCTCACATCGATGTTTCTCTCTTTCCTTCTCCCTTCTTCTCTCTCTAAAAAGTCAATTAGAAACAATCTTTAAATTGGCTGAGCGGAGGGGTGGAAGAGGGGCTGTCAAGGGAAGGTGTATGGAAGAAAGTCTGGACATGGCCACAGGAGGCACGAGCTGAGGACTTAGACTGGATGATGCCCTTCGTCCACCTCCCTGTCCCCTCCCTCTCACCTCAGAGCCTGCAGGGCCTTCTTGTTCTGCCGCCGCTTCTCCTCGTCAATTGGGTACAGCTTGAAGAGCAGCAGGCCCAGCAGAATGAGGGCTATGGGGGCCATTGTCACCAGCATCTTCAATGTAAACCTGACAGGTGCTGGCTGGGAGCAGCCACGGGTCCGGTACCCCGCAAAGCTGTGGGACCCAATGGGAAGGTGAGTGGTGAGGATGGGGTGCCTAGAGACTGTTCCTGTCTAGCACTGCCCCAGGGTCCCACCCACTCACTCAAGGCTGAGGGTAGAGATGCCCAGTGAGACTCCAGAGGCGAACTTGGTGAAGAAGACATAGAAGGAGAAGAAGATGGGCTCGGTTCCATGGGAGTGGGGCTGCTTCAGGTGGAAGTCATCAATGACATCGGGCAGCATGGACCTGTACAGAGTAGTGGCAGCCATGAGGGCTCATCCACCTCACAACCCCAGGTCCCTACTAGCCCATCTGACACCTCTCTGTGTCCATGAGAAGAAGTGGCCCTCTGGGAGTTTGCAGCTCCATGGACACAGCTCAGTGAGGAGATGGCAACTGCATGTGACTAAGAAGGTCCCTTCCTTCCTCCACGGTGAGGTAGCCCCACTAGGTGCTCCGCTAAGCAAGTAACACGCAGACCAGCCTTAAGCCCCCATTTCTCACCCTGATTAGGTGTTTTTGCATAATTCACAACCTGGACAACTATATGGGAAGATCCGCTCCCTACCCCCAACCTAAACCCACAGAATGGCCTGCAAGAGGAGAAGCCCTCACAGAATTCTCCCAAAGAAGCTTCAGAAGTGGGGGCTGGGAGACTGGGCACATACCCAGGTGACCTGTCTACTTACCAGGGTAGTAAGAAGGCAGCTGCTACACTAATGCCAGCTGCCACAGCTACTACATATGTGACAATCAGGTTGCTCTCCATGAGGGCCACCAGGATGAGAAATGGCACTGCTGACTAGGGAAGGGGGTACAGGAAGATGAGTCAGCTGGGAGGCTCCCACCAGCAACCCCCAGTCCAGGCACTACCCCTTCAGTCCCACTTACTGAGATCCCAACGTATACAGCTGTCTTCTTGCCAAACCGAGTTAGAAACCACTGCCAAAGGGGAATGGTGAATGTAGCCGAGAGCTGTAGATGGAAAAGGGGTGAGGGAAGTGGGTTAGAGCCATGTAACCCCTCCTGCCCTTCCAGGGACCCCAAAGGTGCTCCCAGCGCTGCCTGAGAGCAGCCAGATGGCATCATCAGAGCAGTGAGGAAGTTGATAGGCACCTTTGATGGCTCTCAAAGGGGCTGAGAGCAGGTCCCAGTTTCATCTCCTGCCTTCTCTGAGTACAACTGAGCCAAAGTTCCAAAGTTCCTGGCCTCTACCTCTCTGCTCTTGCTACCTTCTCTACTTGAACATATAACTCCAAACTCTTTTTGTTCCTCCCAGTGTTAATGTAATTGACTAAAAGACTGTATTAGTGGTTTAAGAGTACAACATGATGAACACGCACTCAAACTTTTCCACACTGCTACCTAAGCAATTGTATGTCAGATCCAACCAAGTTATTTTCAGAAACCTCCCTCACCCCTTCATGACCTTGGATCACTCTGAGAAATATCCTCTGACTCTCCAAAGAGCCATCTCACAATCTATGTCACTTCAGCCCAGGCTGCCTACCCGCCCTCAGGGCCCCACACATACCATGATGGCCAGGAGCAGATTCTGGAATTCATTGCGGAAGCCCAAGGTGTAGGTGCAAAACAAGGCGAAGTTCCCCTCCACCAGCTGGGGAAGGAGGCAGGGAGTGGGGAGGAAACACAAGGAAAGATGTGATATTGGGGCTAAGCCTCCCCAAGACACTCCCTATGCTCCCGGGACCTCTGTTTACCCATCCCCTTCCACTCCACCTGTCTCTCAGCCTTGTCACATCCTGAGTCCTTGCCCCCAACCCCAGGCTGAACATGTCAGGCCCCCACTCACCATGAAAGCCAATGAAGTGAAGAGGAAGCCAGTAATAAGTCTGACATATGGGCCATGGCTCATGACCAGCCGAAGGCCCCGAAAGAAGGACATCGGCTCAGCTTGCTGAGATTCATAGGGTTCTGTGGGCCAGAGGAAACAGTAAAGAAGGAGCAGAGGCCCCTCCCAAAACCTGAGGTCCAAGCAGAGGGACAAAGCCATCTTGTGCTGGGGCCTGCACCCCGACCGCCCTCAGAGCTTCTCACCTCTCTGCTCCTTCACACCCAGGACCAGGATGACAGCACAGATGACATAGATGGAGGCAATGACCCCTGCCGCCAGCAGGTATGCATTTTGCTGTAAAGGGGGATAAAGGCAACGTAGAGAGACAGTAAGTCTGGTCTCATCTCAACCCAGCAGCTCCACGCAATGACCTTGGACCAATCCCTTCTACTCTGGGGCCTCACTGTCTCCATCTGTGAAATGGGAAAAATCATCCTGGTCCTGCTGCTGTTTCCCAAGTGTGGGCAAAGTTCAGCAGAACAAAATGTCAAGACACCCGGATTCGGAATCTGGGGACCCACAGTTCAAATCTCCCCTAAATCTACTTTCTGCAACTCACTAGCCTATCACCTAGGCAAATTATTTAGCCTCTATGCTTTAGTTTCCTTATCTACAAAGTGGTTATACTGTCTGGCCGGTGTGGCTCAGTGGCTGAGCATCGATCTGTGCACCAAGAGGTTGCTGGTTCAATTCCTGGTCAGGATACATGCCCAAGTTGTGGGCCTGATCCCCAGTGGGGGGCATGCAGGAGGTGGCCAATCGATGTTCTCCCTCATTGATATTTTCTATCTCTCCCTCTCATTTCCTCTCTCTGTAAAATCAATAAAGGAAAAAAACCAAAAACCCACAAAGTGGCCATATTTACAGTTTGTATATCAAATGCCCAACATTTAGCAAACAATAGCTATTATTACTATTTTGAGGATGACTGCAAACCATCCCATTGTTCCTCATCTCCCCATACCCCACCCTGAAAGGGGCCTCACCGTTTCTCTGAGTGAGTTGGTGCTGTGTGTACGATTGGCACCTTCCGAGGCCACTGCTGAACCATTGGGGTCCTCAAGACAAGGCATATCTGCTTGGCCTACGATTTGCCCTTGGATCGCTGTGCCCAGCACTGTGCCCAGCACCTCCACGGTCATCCCTGAGCAGTGAAAAGAAGGTCCTTTTTGGAGGACACCCATGGCTTGTGGGCCCCCAGGGAGAAAGGTCAAGTGAATAGAAGCCCAGTTCTAGCCAAATGATGGTAGCAGCTCCAACTAGGGTGGCCATAGGGTGGTGGGGCAGATGGCACCTTGGCCTAAATTCATGACCTTGCTCAGTATGACCTCTGGCTAGTCCCTGCATCTCTCTGGTCTCACCAGAGCCATAAGGGGATTCAGTTATTTTTAACCGCTGAGCCAAACCAGCTAGGGCGGGATTCAGTTATTTTTAAAATGGTTTCACCCTGCCAGTGTGGCTCAGTGGACTGAGCATTGTCCCATGGACTGAGAGGTCCTGGTTTGATTCCTGGTCAGGGCACATGCCCGGGTTGTGGACTTGATCTCTAGTACAGGGGTGTGCATGAGGCAGCTGATCAATGTTTCTTTCTCGCATTGATGTTTCTATCTCTCTCCCTTCCTCTCTCTCTAAAAAAATCAATAAAAACATATTTTAAAAAGTTTTTATAACCACTCCCAGCAAGGGAAGAAATGTGGCAGGAGGGTCAAGGAGTGGGGGACCCAGGGTTCCTGGTGGGTGGGATCAGTGGGCTAGGGAGAGACTTACGGTAGGCAGTAGCTGAATCCCGCTCACTCTGCTCTGTGCTGATGAACATGGTGAGAGCTGAGTAGGGAACGTGGAAACACTGGCATGGAAGAGAGGCCCTCGGCCAGTCAGATGATGGACAGACAGATGTGGCTTTGGGCACCAACCCCAGAGGCCCCAGGGACTGCCCTCACCCTTGCCCTGACACCCAGGGGAGGTGCCCACACTCACCGTGACCAGTGTCTGAAAGAGGCAGTAGAAAAGCAAGTACCATAGGGCCTGGCCCTGTGGGAAGTCAGGCACGAACCATATGAGGAAGTAGGCAATGATGGCCAGGGGTGTGGAGAAGATAATCCTGAGGGAAGGAAGGATATATATTAAACTTATATATTATATATATTATTCAGCCTTAAGAAGGAATTAAATTCTGACACATGCTACAACACAGATGAACCTTGAAGACATTATGTTAAGTGAAATAAGCCAGACACAAAAGGACAAATGCCATATGATTCTACTTATGTGACATAACTAGAGTAGTCAAATTCACAGAGACAAAAATAGAAGAATGGTAGTTGCCAGGGGTTGGGGAGAGGGTGAATGGGAGTTACTGTTTTTTTGTTTTATTTTATTTTTTTATTATTATTTTTAAACTGTGAAAAACCTTTTTAATTTTATTTTTGTTACAGATGTTTCTCCTTTTTTACCCCATTGATACCCTCCTCCCCATCCCGCCCCCCCTGCACCGTCCCCGGCTTTGTTGTCCATGTCCATTGGTTATGCGTACATGCATATATGTTCTGTGGTTTATCTCTTCCCACCCTCCCACCCCCTCTTCTGAGGGATGTCAGTCTGTGCCCTACTTCCATGTTTCTGGGTCTACCATATTTCTCAGACTGTTATGTTCATTATATTCCATATATAAGTGAGATCATGTGGTATTTGTCTTTTTCTGCTTGGCTTATTTCACTTAGGATAAAACTTTCCAGGTCCCTCCATGTCATCTCAAAGGATAAGAGATCTTTCTTACAGCTGCATAGTACTCCATTGTACATATGTACCATTGCTTTTTTTATTTTTTATTGTTTTTATCCTCATCCGAGGACATTTTTCCATTTTTTATTCAGATAGAGTGGGAGGGAAGGAGAGAGAGAAACATCGATGTGAAAGGGACACATCAAGTGGCTGCCACCCGCACGACCCAAGCAGAGCCGGGGACAAACTGCAACCGATGTACCATTGTTTTTTTATCCATTTGTCTACTGATGGACACTTGGGCTGTTTCCAGATCTTAGCTATTGTAAATAGTGCTGCTATGAATATGGGGGTACATATATTTTTTCTGATTGGTGTTTCAGGCTTCTTAGGGTATATTCCTAGAAGCGGGATCACTGGGTCAAATGGAAATTCAATTTTTAATTTTTTGAGGTAACACCATTTTGTTTTCCATAGCGGCTGCACCAGTCTGCATTCCCACCAGCAGTGTACTAGAGTCCCCTTTTCTCCACACCCTCGCCAACACTTGTTGTTTGATGATTTGTTGATGGCGGCCATTCTGACAGGTGTGAGGTGATACCTCATTGTTGTTTTAATTTGCATCTCTCTGATGATTAGTGATGATGAGCATTTCTTCATATGTCTCTTGGCTATTTGTATCTCCTGTTCGGAGAGGTGGGGAGTTACTGTTTGATGGTAAGAGTTTCAGTTTGGAAAGCTGGAAAAGCTCTGGAGATGGGTGGTGACAAGTCAGACAATGAGAATATACTTAATGCCACTGAATTGTACACTTAAAAAATGGTTACAATTGTCTGGCGGGTGTGGCACAGCGGTTGAGTGTCGGCCCATGTACTAAAAGGTTGCCGGTTTGATTCCCGGTCAGGGCACATGCCCAGATTGTGGGCCCAATCCCCAGTGGGAGACATGCAGGAGGTGGCCAATCGATGTTCTCTCTCATCACTGTTTCTCTCTCTCTCTCCCTCTCACTTCCTCTCTCTCTCTAAAGTCAATAAAGAAAAAAAAATATTTTTAAAGAAAATTATTTTTAAAAAGGGTTAAGATGGCCCTGGCCAGTTTGGCCTAGCAGTTGGAGCATCAGCCTGTGGACCAAAGAATCACCAGATCAATTCCTGTCAAGGGCATGTACCTCAGCTGCAGTTTGATCCCTGGCCCTTGTTGGGGTTGTGTAAGAGGCAGCCAATCAATGTGTCTCTCAAATCGATGTTTCTCTCTCTTTCTCTCTTCTTCCCTCCTACTGTATCTGAATATCAACGGAGCCCTGGCCAGTTTGGCTCAGCGGTTAGAGTGTTGGCCTGTGGTCCAGAGAGACCCAGGTTTGGTTCCCGCTAAGGGCATGTACTTAGGTTGCAGTTCGTCCCCGGCCCTGGTTAGGTCATGCGGGTGGCAGCCACTCAATGTGTCCCTTTCACATCGATGTTACTCTCTCTCTCTCTCTTCCTCTCTCTCCCTCCCGCTCTATCTGAATAAATAAAAAAAAAGGAAAAATGTCCTCGGGTGAGGATAAAATAAATAAATGAATATCAATGGAAAGTATCCTCAGGTGAAGATTTTAAAAAAATGGCTAAAATGGTTAATTTTATTATATATATATGTACATACATTTTTTAAATCTTTTTTTTTCTTTATTGATTGTTAGAGAGAGAGGAAGGGAGGGGAAGAAAGAGGTGGAAACATCAATGAGAGAGAAAACTGATTGGCCACCTCCTGCATGCCCCCCACTGGAGATTTGACCCACAACCTGGGCATGTGCCCTGACCAGGAATCAAACCAGCAACCGAACCAGCAACCTCTTGGTGCATGGGTCGACGCTCAACCACTGACCCACACTGGCTAGGCTATTATGTATATTTTACCACAAAAAAGGCATATAGCCCTGGTGGGCTTGGCTCAGCAGTTAGAGCATCAGCCTGAGGACCAAAGAGTCACGAGTTCAATTCTGGTCAAGGGCACATACGTAGGTTGCAGTTAGGTACCCAGCCCTGGGTTGTACAGGGGGCAACCAATCAATGTGTCTCTCACATTGGTGTTTCTCTCTCTTTCTCTCTACCCCTCCCTCCCACTCTATCTGAAAATAAATGGAAAAATATCCTCGAGTGAGGATTTAAAAAAAGAGAAAGAAAAAAAAAAAAGGCATATAGACATATTAAAGAAAAAGGAGGCTAAATGGAAATTGGGAGGATGGGGGTGCAATTCACAACTGAGTAAACAGGGTAGCCTGTCTGTGGCTTTGAGAAGGTGACATCTGTGCAGACTTGAATGACAGGAGGAAGTTGGCCTCGCAGACGTGTACAGCATGCAAGAGTGTGTCAGGCAAGAGGGACAGTCCGTGCAAACATCTTTAGGCAAATATGCCAGGCAGGTATGAGGAATAGAAAGGAAGTCAGTGGGGCTGGAATGCAGCGAGCATGGGCAATGCAACTAGGAGATGAGGTTGGAGAGGAAATGGGACACCAGGTCATGTAGGGCCACATAGGCCAGGTAAAAACGCTGGTTCTGCCCTGGCCGGTTTGGCTCAGCGGTTGGAGCGTCGGCCTGCGGTACAGAGAGACCCGGGTTCGGTTCCCGCTAAGGGCGCGTACCTCGGTTGCAGTTTGTCCCCGGCCCTGGTTGGTCATGCGGGTGGCAGCCACTCGATGTGTCCCTTCACATCGATGCTTCTCTCTCTCTCTCTTCCTCTCTCTCCCTCCCGCTCTATCTGACCAAAAAATGGAAAAATGTCCTCGAGTGAGGATAAAAAAACAAACAAAAAAACCGCTGGTTCTGTTTCCTAGGGTTGAAGTAGTTTTGAGACTTAAATAAGTTGATATTAAAATGTAGAACATCCCTGGCTGGTTTGGCTCAGCGGTTAGAGTGTCGGCCTGCGGTCCTGAGAGACCCGGGTTCGGTTCCCGCTAAGGGCGCATACCTCGGTTGCAGTTTGTCCCCGGCCCTGGTCGGTTGTGCGGGTGGCAGTCACTTGATGTGTTCCTTTCACATCGATGTTTCTCTCTCTCTCTGTTCCTCTCTCTCCCTCCCACTCTACCTGTACAAAAAATAGAAAAATGTCCTCGGGTGAGGATTAAAAAAAAAAAAAATGTAGAACAGTGTTTGGGATACAGTAAGTGTTTGCTGTGATTATCACACCAGGAAAGCTCAGGGGGAGAGGACAAGCCCACAGTCAGGGGGCTGTGGAGAGCACTGGGCTGGGAATCAGACCTCAGGTCCAGCCCTGCTGCATCTCGGCTTTTCCATGTGGCCCTGCTGACACACTGTCTCTCATGGGGTGGCTTTGGGAACTCCAGGGAAAGTGTCTGTCAAAGTCTTCCTGGTCTGAAGGGGGGATTTAAACTATGTCTGAGGGCAGATCTGTTCTAAAGCCTGGGGGGTGAGTGGCCACAGGGCCCATGAACCAAGAAGGGCTCCACCTCTCCCCATACTGATAGAAAGGGTGTCAGGTCCCAGGCCTGAGGAGGGGCCCACACGAACTGTGGTATGGACGGGGAGGAAGTCCCATACACTACATGCAGCACTTCAGCATGATTGGGCCAGTGTGTCCTCCGACAAGGGTGCTATCATGCACACAGGTGAGGACATGTACTAAAGCAAAAACCAGCCTGAAGGGCCTCAGCAACTTCACCAAGCCAGCTGCCACACCTGCCCAAGGGGAGGCCACAGGGAGGGCCTCCCGGGTTCTCCCTCCCTACCCTCCTCCACCACCGCCACTCCCACTGCCACCCCCCTGCCCAGATCCACGTGTCTCCTCAGAGAACAAGGGCGTCAGCTTTCCTCAGACACTCCATCCTCTCCCCTAGGCAGCTGAGCAGCTGATGAGGAACCGAATGTGACTGGGAGTAACCCGGGCTGGGCCGCTGTCTGATTGGGCTGGCCAGGGCGGCTGCCTCCCATTGGCTGGGCCTCATGAGGAGATGTGGCAGCAGGGCCCCACCTCCCACCAGCTGCCAGGGAGGCGGTACGGGCCTAGCTTCATTGGTGTGTGGCTCCAGCAGTAGGGAGCCCTGAGCAGCCTGCCCAGGTAAAGCAGGCTGTCCTGCCCCCTGGCCCTGAAGTCTGGATCAAAGGCCCCAACCTGGGCCTTAGCCAGGGGCTGGCAGGACTAGTGCAAGGGGGGTAAGGGGGGGCTCGTGGGAAAGGAAGCTGTTGGGGAGAGGCGGGGGCTGTGGGAAGAGCTTTGAAGGCTGAAGGCCGGAGACCAGGTATGGGCGCCCCTGGGGCAGGAAGGCGCCCACTTGAGCATGGATGGGCTGGAGATTAAAGGAAATGTCCCCCCACCCCCACCCCCTCCACCACCAAGCAGGATGTCCTGGAGGGAACCAAAGCTCCAGCCTGTCAGCCTGTCCTGTGTCTCACTTTGCTGTCTGATCTGTAGCACCCCCAACCCCCACCTTGTCAGACAGCCTGAGGCTGAGTACTATAAGTTTTATACCAAGAGGCCAGAGGTAATGGGTCTGATATCCCATTCTTGGTCTTATTCCACTAGGAGCCATTCTGAAAGGCTGCTAAATTAGATATTACTAAATATGTGCCAGGCACATATATATTATATGTAAGTACTTTATATAAATAAATAAAACATTTAATCCTTACCACAACCCTACGAGACAGGCATATTATTATCCCCATTTTACAGATGAAGAAACTTGAGACTCAGAGATGTTAAGTGACTTGTCCAAGGTTGCACAGCTGTAAGTGGTGAAGCTGTATTAAAAATGAAGCAGGCTGACTCCAGAGTATAACCTCTCAGCCACTATGCAGTACTACCTCTCTCACCATGGGAAGTGGCTGAGTGGGAAAAATTAAATTCCAGCTTCATGGAAGGGAATGGACCTTGGGAAGCAGTAGGGTTTGGGCAGGGGGAAGTTGCTCAATCTAACAATTTGCCAGCCTGGGGATGAACTGGCAGGGCATCCCAGGACCCATGCCTGGGGTAGCTGACCTCAGCTGGAATTTCGACACTCAGGTTTTTGCGTCATTCCTTCTCCTCACCCCTCAGCCTGTGACAAAGCACATGGAAAAACTAAAGGGTAGTATACGTGCCAGAAGCCCTGCCTTCTTTCACCATGAAGGAGCCTCTTCTACTCACCATGGCATAAGGCGGCCCAGACGGGTCCAAGAGGATTTGCTAATGCAGAAGCCCACCAAGGGGTCTGTGAAGGCATCCCAAGCTCGGCCCACAAAGAGGATGATGGAGGCAGAGAAAGGGTCCACCTGGAATGGGGAACAGGCAAAAGATGACCCCTTCATCCTTCTACCTGCCTCAGCCCTCACTAGTAGGCAAAAGCAGGGGCTCCCTCCCACCCAGGCTTTACGCATCTTCACTTGCCTTGTTAATAATGACAGTAACCATTCTCTAATAGCTGTAGCACTGTGTGCTTTCTTAGAAACTTTCCCAGGTCTGTCCCCTTACTTCCTCCCCTTCACTGCCCTTGAAACACTCCCATCAATTAGAATCCAGAATCATTTCTTGCCTCCCTTTCAAAGCCCTGAATCCCCAACCACCTGATACCGGAGTTAGCATTTGCTGGTTGACCACAGTGGGCCTCAATTTCCCCATCTACATAACGGGAGTTATCTTACAGTTCAAGCTCTATCTTGGATGTGGAAAAAGGAACCTATAGATGCTTTCATTTTAAATATGTTTTATGGACTTTTTTAGAGACCGAGGAAGGGAGAGAGATAGCAACATCGATGTGAGAATCGACTGCCTCTTGCACACCCCCTACCAGGGATCGAGCCCACAACCCGGGCATGTGCCCTGACCGGGAATCGAACCAGGACCTCTCAGTCCATGGGACGACATTCAATCCACTGAGCCACACTAGCCAGGATATAGATGCTTTTAAAAAGTGGCCTGTCTGCCCTGGCTGGTTGCTCAGCTGTTAGAGCCTGAGTCTGGAGAGACCCGGGTTTGGTTCCCGCTAAGGGCACGTACCTCGGTTGCAGTTTGTCCCCGGCCCTGGTTGGGTCGTGTGGGTGGCAACCACTAGATGTGTCCCCTTCATGTCAATGTTTCTCTCTCTCTCTCTCTCCCCCTCCCACTCTATCTGAACAAAATATTGAAAAATGTCCGTGGGTGAGGATAAAAAAAAATAAAAATAAAAAGTGGCCTGTTACTACCCACTCAAGCTATTCCCTCCCTGCAAATCTTCTAAGCCTGAATAAACAGCTTCTCTGGACTCTTCCTCATCCATCAAGACCCTACCATTGCAACCTGATCAGTGTAGCTCAGTTGGTTGAGTGTCGTCCCATGCACTGAAAGGTTGCCGGTTCAATTCCTGGTCACGGCATATGCCTGGGTTGCAGGCTCAATCCCTGGTAGGGGATGTTTAGGGGGCAGCTGATCTATGTTACACTCTCATATCAATGTTTCTGTCTCCCTCCCTCTTCCTTCCTTTCTCTCTAAAATCAAGTAGGGTCTTTTTTTTTTTTTTTTTTTTAAAGACCCTACTATTACTATTGCACCAGGAAGCTAGGGAACTGGTGGCCTCTCCCACATGGCAGTCTTCCTAATCTAACATTTCCAACTTTAACACTTACTAAACACAGTTTTATAATTTAGCTACAGGTTCCTCATATTTACACCCCACTCAGGGTCCAACCCATGAAAGTTGCTTGAAAACTAGCTGCTGAATGCTGTCATTTGCCCTTTCTGAGGCTCAGTATTCCAGACCTATAAATGGATACAACTAAGGTGCCCTGCTTGCAAAGTCAGATACTACATAGAAAAAAATGGCCAGTGTGGAAGCCCTGAGAGCCATGGTTGTTCAGCCTCCGACTCTCCCATCCAGGCAAGGTGAATTCTCAGGATGCCAAGCGGCCAAGGCTTCTCAAAGCACAGAGGAGCCCAGCTTCACCTTAAATACCCATCCCAGCCAAAGACCCTATGTACTAAGGCATCCTAACTTAACCCAGCACTCGAGGGCACTCTGACATGCCTCTGCTCCTTAGGTGAAAATGAGATGTACCTCATCCACATGCCTGGCAATATCTACCAACCCCACAGCCAAGCCAGCTGACTGCTTACTGTCCAGCTGGGGACATGGTGTGCCAATCTCTTCTAAGAACAGTGTCACCAGCGGGTTCCATTTTCCCCCACACCACTGCCTACCCTTCCAGGTTCTGTTGCTCTTGCCAGACAAGGAGGAGTTGCCTGACCTTGCCAGCTAAGACTCCTGGGACAGATCGACTGCCCTTCTGGATACTTCCCTAAACCTTCTTATTTCTTATCCACTGTAACTCTGACAGGCAGCAAAGTAGGGATTCCCAGTCCCATTTCACAGATGGGGAAAACCTTGGGATACTGCAGGAGCCCTGGCAGGCTCAGTCCACTCACCTGAGCTACATCCAACAGGTAGATCTGCAGGAAGAACCCCAGGGCACAGCCTGTCACCTGGTAGGGGGCCCCCCCAACTGCATAGCAAAGCTTATTGCAAATGGACAACTGTTGTTTCTTCTTCGGTTCCTTCTGGAAAGAGAAAAACATGAAAGGATACCCAAGATCCTGGCCTCCATCCTAGAAAACTCCAAAGACAGGACCGACCATCCATCCCTCCAGCCAATTCCTCCAAGAGGAGCAAGTCTGTCTTGCCCTATTCCCACCCAGCTAGATAGCACTTCTAGAAAGGTATTCTCTATTCTTAGGAAACTGAAAAAGGGGAATCTATACTGAGGAAGTTTCCCCTAAGCCACCTCACCCTACTCCCAGATTCTTATCAGCCCACCATCCCTAAAAACTCCCCCCAAAGCCTCAGTCATGTTCCTTTCCAGGTTGGAAGGGGACCATGCTCCAGCATCAGACCTGTCCCCACCCAGCACCAACTGCCACAACCTGAAAATCCTCTTGCTGGCAAGAACTGCCTAAACCCAGCCTCAGCCCCAGCTCCTGCCCTGGTTCAGAGGCCAAGACCCACCTGCCTGTACTGGTTGAGAGCTCTAGAGACTTGTAGGGGCCCAACCCCAGCTCTTGCCCTGGTTCAGAGGCCAGGACCCACCTGCCTATACTGGTTGAGAGCTCTAGAGACTTTTAGGGGCCCATCCCAGCTGGCTGCAGGCACAGCTGTTCCTTCCATCTGTCCCAGAGCATCCCTGGCCCCTGGGGGCAGCCAGAGTTTCAGGCCAACCCAGGAGCTGTCCTACCCTTCCTCAGCTCCTAGGGGACCTCGGAGAGGGGAGGAAAAACCTCTCGGTGCAGGACTGGGTTCTCTCTGGGTGGGGCACCAGGGAGGCTGAGGTTGCCCAGGAGAGAGTAGAGATTACTCATACATAGCAGCTTAATTGCTCACCCAGGCTCCCTCGCAAGGATCAGTTAAAATTAAAAGTAAAAGGCAACCTTCCAGGCAGAAATCAATTGCCTGGGATCCCTCCCTGGGGCTACTTGATTTCATTTGGTCCTTCATTATGCCCAGAGAGCTGGGGATGGTGCCGAAGGTCAAGACGCACAAGGCATGAGCCCCTACACCCACACTCACACAAATGCCTGAAGAATGCGGCTCCTTTAAGAGCAGAGTCCTTGTTCTTATGAATGAACTTGAGCGGCCCTCACACAGAGTTAAGGCTCAAGCTTAGGCATGGAGGGGTGGGGAGTAGGGGGTGAGAGATGGGGAACCAACAGAACCTCCCCAGATTTCTGGGGTCTCTCTGGCTTCTAAGCCTTTAGTCACAGAAGAACGAAAAACAGCCAGGCAGAGCGCAGAGCTGGGCACCACGAGGAGCTGCCGGCCGGCGCTCCGCAGAGATGCGGAGGGAGTGTGGACAAAAAGGGGGCGCCGGCGTCTTCTACAAAACTACTTCACCATCCTCAGCCCCTAGGGCACCACCGGGCTCTCTCCTGCCCCTGGGCATTCCTGTCCCCCGGTAGCTCAAGGTGTCCCAGAACCAGGTTTATCCTTCGCGCCCCCCGCCCCCATCAGCTTGCACACACACGCGCACCCGGCCCCTTGCCCTCCAGCCGAATGCCAGGTTCTCACCTTTACCTGGGCCGGGCGTTCACCAACTTGGAGGATGCTTGTGGGCAGCAGCCCCGCCGCGGAACCGCTCTCGGCGCCCTCTCCCTTGGCCATGACCCGCGGGCCACGCCGCCCGCTATCGGGACGCCGGGATGCTCTTCCGCCCCTCCGGCCTCCGCTCCGTCCCGACTCGGGTGGTAACCGCCGCCGCCACAGTCGCTACGCACTAGTAAACCCCGCAGGAAGGAGGCAGAGGAGCGCACTACCCTGCACTCCCCCTCGCACCTCTTAAAGGTTGGGCCCCTCCCTCTTGGGTTCGACCAATCCCGGAGTCCTGCTGCCCCGCCTCCAGCCAATCCATTCGGCCGCCGGGCCCCGCCTGCCCAACCAGCCCCGAGGTTCTTGCCTTTTGAGCCACGGTCTCGAAGCCCGGATCTCGAAACCCGGGTAAAGGCGGGGAGACCCACCTGACACTCACCAGGAAACTGAGGCCCAAAGCTCAAAGTGACCTTCCTCTGGTCTCCAGAGTAAGTTTTCCCTGAGTTCAGCCTACTCCCCATGACTTCTGACACCCAAGTCTAAGAAAGGTAGGGACTCAGAAACCCTTTTATTTATTTATTTTTCAGAACCCCATTAAAATCTGGAATCACTTGAGTCTCCCTCGCCTCCAAACCTGGAGGATGTAGCACTGGCATTTCCTTACCTATGCCCCTCTTTCAATTCCCAAGACCCTACCATTTCCTCTTCCTGCCATCGGCATCTTTGGGGCGCTCATAGGTGGGGGAGAAAGATGAGGCAATGCAGTCGTTGCCCCTTGCAGGCAGGAAACTCCCAAATTGTGGAGAGACAGGACCACGGCTGCTACTACACGATGATGATAACAGCAGCCTTTTATGGAGAGCTTCCTAGATGCTCAACATGATCTCATTCAACCCTCACAAGCACCAAATGAGGGTAGTTCTATTATTATCTTACTTTTACAGCTGAAGAAAGGAGACTCACAGATATGGCAAAACCAGGCCTGAAAGGTTTTGTCCCATCCCAAAGCCTTTGCTCTTAACAACCCTGCTCTGTCCCTCTCAGCAAAAATTACCAGAAGACTGAATGTGTCTCCCTAACAAGAAGCACTGGGAGATAACAAAGCTGCAATGGCACTCTGGGTAGAAATTAAAGAAATGTTTGAAAAAGAGAGTACTGAGTAATCTGGTCCTTGAAAGAAGACTGGAGGACATTAGTCTAGAACAGAGACCAGACATAGATAACAAATAACAGTCTTTCTACCACCTCTTGGCCTATTGTGCCAACATCATCCCAGGTAGACACTCAAGAGAGACCAGTTCGCTCTAATTAGTGAAGGGGCTGCTGGGAAGATCCTCAAAGGCCACAGGCCACTCACTCCTGTTCTGCGGTTGCTCAGCATCGGGCTCTTCCCCCCCCTGCCCCCCCCCCCCTTAAAATCTCTCAGTGCCAAGAGAAGATGTCTGGTTTTCCCAGGATGGCCACACCATGCTTCCTCATGTGCCCTAGCAGAACCCATCTTGGCACACAGCTCTTGGCTACTGCTGAGCAGAAGAGAGTCAAAGTGCGGCAGTTGAATACTGTCAAAAGGGCAGAGACTGGCCCCTAGGGCCCTGCCTGAGCTCTGTGAGACTGGTCTCTCTTCTCCATTCTGGGCTTGAGTTGGCTGAGGTGGACTCCATGATCCCTTCCAGCCCTAAAATCGTCACTCCTATAACCTCACACCATAACACAAAGTGATTTAGATCCCTTGCCAGACCCTGAGTTTCAGGAAGTTAGAAATTAAATCTTTTTCACTGCTGCCATATCCCCACTGACAAGCTTGTGAACTGACTCAATGGTAGGAACTTGATAAACATAGTTCAATGATGCATGCTCAGTCTTCCTCAAGTACAAGTACAAGAAGGGTCCATTAGGAAAAGCCTCAGTCTCCTCCATTTATTTTTATTTTTATTTTTTATCCTTGCCCGAGGACATTTTTCCATTTTTTGTTCAGATAGAGCGGGAAGGAAAGAGAGGAAGAGAGAGAGAGAAAAACATGGGACACATCGAGTGGCCGCCACCCGCAGGACCAACCAGGGCCGGGGACAAACTGCAACCGAAATACGTGCCCTTAGCGGGAACCGAACCCGGGTCTCTCTGTACCGCAGGCCTACGCTCCAACCGCTGAGCCAAACCGGCCAGGGCTCAGTCTCCTCCATTTACTAGCTGTGTGATTGATCCGGGGCAACTCAGTTACCCTCCCTATGTATAAAGTAGGGATATTAAGAGTGACTAGGGTTATTTTGGTATGAAACAAGAAAAATGCACAGGAAGTGCTTAGCACAAGTGACTTGGAGCTGAGGCTGGGTTGGTCACCCTCCTGGCCGGATTCCAGTCTGTCAGTGTAGCAATGCAAGATTCCAGATATGGCCTGACCAAGCCAGCACAATAGGCCTATTATTTCCCCTAGTCTGGACGGGACACATTGTTAATGCAGCCTAAGGCTGCTGGGCTTCAGTCTTTCTCTCCCATGATTAGTTCCCATCAGGTTGTGGTCAACTAAATCATTCAGATCCTTTTCACTGGAGCTGGGGTCAAGTCAGGTTTCTCCCCCCCCCCCCCTGTGCTTTGTGCAATGTCTTGGAGCTACAGAAGGACAATGTCATCTTGCTTATTCCAGCCTTTCAAAATTTGGGGTGGGGGCGAATTTTAGATAAAACCCTATTCCTTTTTAAAGATTTTTATTGAATTAATTTGGGGGTGACTTTTTAAATAAAATTATATTGGTTTCAGGTGTACAATACTATAACACATCATCTGTATATTGTATTGTGTTTTCACCAAAATTGTTTTCAATGACAGTTCTATTGCCCACAGTTTTCTCTCCCTAAGTTTATTTATTTATTTATTTTTAGAGAGATAGGAAGGGAGAGGGAGAGAGAGAAAGAGAAACATTTATGAGAGGGAGAAACATTGATTTATTGCCTCCCATACGAGCCCAGAACTTACAACCTTGGTATGTGTCCTGACTGGGAATTGAACCGGCAACCTTTCAGTGCACAGGATGACACTCAACCAACTGATCCACACCGGCCAGGGCTCCCTCTCTAAGTTTAGATCCAGTCTGCTCCTTGGGACTTCATCTTCACCATGCATACCGTTGATCAGGACAGAGCCCCATAACACACCACTATGGACACTCATTTACCATTAACCAAATCAGGGCACTACTAATCCAACAGCTCCCAATTATTGAGCACCCACTGTATGCTGGGCAAGCACTAGGCAAGCACTTGTCATTTATACCATTTCATTTATTCCTCACAACACCACTAGAGAAGGTATTTTTTGTTGCCCCCACTTTACAGATGATGAACCTGAGAAGCAGGGACTAGTTTTATAACCCCAGAGTCAGGCATTTGTTTCTATCAATGAATTTGGTTGTAGACTTGTCACTTAGGGATGCTGTCCTCCAGGTGCATACAGTCCTGACCATGTGTCTCCATTGGCCCTCTTGGCCACTCTCCCTCCTACTCTCTGACCTACACACCACCAGGCCTGGAGCCCAAGGGGCTTTGCTGAGCCTCTAGTCCATGATGGGCATAAGGTAACCTTACCAGCCCTATTACCCTCAGGAGCCTGGAGCAGAGACCTGGGTCCATTTTTTTTTTTTTTTTTTTTTCTACCCCCACCCGAGGACATTTTTTCATTTTTTGTTCAGATAGAGTGGGAGGGAGAGAGAGAGAGAGAAACATCGATGTGAAAAGGACACATTGGGTGGCTGCCTCCCACACGACCCAATCAGGGCCGGAGACAAACCACAACTGAGGTACATGCCCTTAGCGGGAACTGAACCCGGGTCTCTCTGGAACACAGGCTGACGCTCTAACCGCTGAGCCAAACTGGCCAGGGCTGGGTCCACTCTTTATAGCAATATTCCATCTAGAACAGCAGTGAGAAGAAGGGCTTCTCCCTGAGGAGCAAACAGCTCCCCACTTTGTGGTAGGAACACCCTCCTAGCCATCCTTGACCCTTTCTGGGTCTAGCCCAGCCTCATGACCGAAGGCAAATGAACTTCAGTGCTCCCCTTGTTGCTCTTCACCTGTCTGTGCCCTCTCAGGGCACTATGCCCAGCCTTGTGGGCTTCTTCATATACCTTAGCATACTCTCCTGAAGGCCTTTGGGGAAGATCACCAGATCCCCTGAGCTTGTTGGGAAGCAGAGCAGCATACAGATTACCCCAGGAGACAGATTACCAGGCTTCATAGCCTATCTCTACCATTACAGTTTACTCTTGGGCAAATTAGTAAATCTCTTTGAGCCTCACTTTCCCCACCTGTCAAATGGGAAAAATAATTGTACCTATCTTATAGGGTTGTCATGAGGATTAAGTGGGGTACTTAGAATAGTGGTTGGCACATAGTAAGCACTTCAAAGGGTTTATTATTATCATTATCATTATTAGTACCCTGGGCAAAACCTCACCAAGTAAAATAACAAGTCAGAGAGGAGAAAATTTGATATGAATGGCTCAGGGTTAGCTTTATGTCAGGGTCTCAAGGTGGCATTTTTAGCAGAGCAGAATGCTGCTAGGGCAGGATTACCAGGTTGAGGTGTTGGTGCTAGGAGATTGTTACTAAGGGAAGATGTTTTCAGATGCCAGTGTTGCCAAGCACTATAACTTGTATCTGTTATCTAATAGTAAGATCTCTTCAGTCCCTAACTAGCAGACCCACCACCTAGACTTCTTCAGAAAAGGAACCCAGCCCTAACAAGTCTCAGCGCAATAGCCACCAGTAAGTTTACATCCTGCATGCGATGATCTAAGGCCCGAGGCCAGGAAATGGTCAGGTTGAAGAGGTACAATTGGAAGGCCCCAGAACAAGAGCTTCCTGGAACAGCTGTTGTGTTAGGAACACCTCAGCCTGTTCCCCATTAGCCCCTTTGTTTGTCCTGTGGGGGGAAGCAGGGCAGAAAGTTGGAAGGAGGGACTCCTGAGGATCCCAAGAGAGGCTCTTTGGGGAGGAAGTAGCTGAGGACCCTTGAAGTCACCTGAGGCTGTCAGTTGCTGCCTGCATGTTGGTTGGGCAATTGTGGGGCAGGAGAAGCCTCAGGGCTGATCCATTCCCACAAGGATATAGACCACTCCACAGAGAGTCTTCAGGAATGGGCTGGGTGATGGGTCTGTCTTCTGAGCCTCAGTTATCAGGGGGAGGAGAGGCATGAAGAACTCCCAGAGATTCCCTGTGTGAATGAAAAAA